TTTTAGCCCCGCCGCTGAATCCTGCCATCCACTCGCAGTCAGTTCAGAAATGAGCATTCCTGTTATCTTCCTGAAGCGAAAGATGTACAGCACGGCCGATTTTTCACACAAAATGCTGAAATTCGCTAGATATTGATAATCACTCGCCAACCGGCCTTGAGTAAGGTGGTAATACTAGTTATTTTGCAGCCTAATTTCAAGTCATTTCAGTCACATTAAGGAACCGGCTTTTTAACGAACTAATTTCTGACCGCCATCGTAGACCCATCTAACTGGGCGTGTCTGTCGGCTTTACTTCGTCGTCGTGCGGCGCACCGATCAGTCGCCAATGCTATCACGCGAACGACATCCTCAGTCTCTTGGCGACCTCGGGGCAGGAGGCGTTCCCTGCTGGTCACGTGACATCCGGCTGACTGTTTTCTCTCCTCCGCGAACGCGACACCTGTCGGTTCCGCGTGAATTTGCTCGCATGCCAGCGCGGTCCTGTCCGAACCGACTCCTGCCAAGGGCCCAGAACCGGGTAGGTGGTACGTAGGCCCATCGTCCGATTAAACAAATCGGTCGATACCTCTTCTCGGGGTTCTGCCGCTGCTCAAAAATAAAAGCTGTTGTTCTGCTATTGTATGTGATCATACATCCTAATGGTGGATTACATGTTGGTTCTCGCGCAATTTTGTGCCGCCCAGGCGTTTGCTTGTTTCACCAGCACGCCTTACATCATGATGTTGGTATCGTATGTTGGCGACCACTACTGATTATTCATTAAGAATGGCTTCTGTTTGGCCGTCTGAACAGGACATGAAAATAGGAACTCCTCGCTCACTTGATAATCTTGCGATTTATTTCCATGCCTTAACAATAACACTAAGCTACTGTTTCCTACTCACGTCTCTGATGATGAATCCGCGACGGATATCGAAACGTCAGGCGAATAAACGTATTGTTCCAGCGATCGAGTCTTCTTCTTCTCACTAAGCATAATATAAAATTGAAGTGTAACCTTAATCTGATACCTGCCCAACCCTACAATTGACTAGAGCAAAAAGCCTAACTTCTAATACAATTCCGACCCTAACGCTAACTCAAACTCTGAATCTTACCCCAAACTTGATACTCCCCGGGATCTGCCGCAAAGCCACATGTGTTGTAAGCAGTTTCCATTCGTGGGTACCTATTAGGCCGTCATCCTTATCGAGTGTTCTGTCTCTGTAGATATTATTTCCAGCAAAGACAAGGAAGACTGGAATGGCAATTTCTGGCGTCGTCAGTCAGTCATACCCCATCCTAAGCGGTGCACCACCCGAGGCTCGAACTCGTGGCCTTTTTTAACTGCCTAGACTACTAGCCACCGTACGACTGTTTTCAGGGCTCGAGAAATGAGATCCAAGGCAGAGCGGGACAAGTGAGTTCCGTTAGCGATTGGTGAACTCTCATCGAGTGTCAATATCCCCTGACCTAAACCGGCAAAACTACGAGTTCGCGGCTCAATAGTCAGAGCGTTGGACTTCTGATCAAAAGGCCGTAAATTCGAGCCTAGGACAGTGCATCACTTAGGGTTGGGTCTGACTGGCTGGCGATGACTAATGAGCCATAAATGGCCAATCCAGTCTTCCGTGCTTTTGACGACAATACCATCTGTTTTTTCAATGTTGGCGAGTCTTTGGGCCCCAGGGTTTGCCACTGAATGCTAGATTCCGGGTTATGGTCCGCACAAATCCAGTCGTCCATGAAACGTTGTTCGCCCAAGTCATTGCGAGGTTGACTTTCTGCTTTTTGCAGTTTGGCCACGCAAAGTGAGATTTTTTGAAACACTCACGTATGATGCCCTTTGGATATTTCCACTGGAACAAACTTATTTGGTCACAGATAATCTTCAGTATTGGATAAGTGAATCGGTTTGCATTCCAATCGATATAATAAAAAGAACGAAGGTCTTCGGAAGATCCAGTTGTGTTCATGAATTTTAAGCAGATAACACCAACCTCTCATTGGACGAAATGAAAAATGGGGAACGGGATTGTCGCACTAGAGCGTTTGGTGGGACAGGCAAGAAGACAGCAGTACAGGGCAGAGGTGGGTGGTGCGGATAAACATGCCACATGTGGGGGTGAGGGTAGGGGCGTTAAGAGGGTGTTAAATGGGTATCCGACTTTAACACCCCTCCCCTCATCCCCAAAACTAACCGTAATATGTTTATCCCCTCACCTGCCATGAGCGTCTGTCTACCTGCCTCCCCACACCAAACGCTCTGGTACGATAATCCTAGCCCCCCAATTTTCATTTCTTTTGGCGATGGGGGCCGCTATTACCTGCTTGAATATTTATGACTGCAACTCCATTTTCCAAACACCTTTTTTAATCTTCAGTAGTTCAAGCAGAGGCAGTATAAACCTCTATTCCTAAAAAAGACTCTTCAACTCCCGTTATCAACGCCATCAAGAAAAATAAGCTTACGTTTGGATGCTTTTGGTATAAGGGTTTTGAGGATATATTTTCTGCAAAGATTCCACAAATGGTCTATTAATACACACATTTTCCTGTTGTCGTGGAGAAGAGATGGGAAGTATATTTTTACGTGTTACGGAATCGAACTTAATAATTGATGAGAAAATAATTTTAGGACCGAAAATTGCATTTTTTTAACCTTTCAAGCTGTCTCTGGAACTTTCTCTGATGTATAAGTGATAACCAGCAGTTCAGTTGGAATTTAAGCTCACATTCAGACATTTGCGTAATTATTATAGAACGTGTGCTCTTTCTAGTGGTGAGTGTCCGCGATATTTTCGCCTGTTCCTCGGAGTGGGCTGTACGGACGTCCACTACAAAGCGAACAGTAACTTGAAGCAGGTGATGATGGCTCTTTAGCACCGCAAGTTTGTGCTCGTGCGTTCGTGTCATAAGTCTTCTTGTGTGTTGCATTTGTGTTCCTGTGGAGGCAAGTGCGGCAGCGCTGATGACACGCGTGTCGATAGTTCTCGCTTGGCTGGATTGTTTTAGTCGTTGTGCCAAAAACCCACAAAATAGGGTAACTTGTCTGCACAGAACTTCATTTGACAACTCTTTTTTTAGGAACCTGTCTACCAACGCATCCTCACCGAAGTGCCACACTTGGTGCAGATGCATCTGTTGCCAACGAATCGCGCGGCAT